ACCACCTGGGGTGACGAGGAACAATGGTAATAAGCTGATGGAGAATAGGTTTAGGTTAGAGATCAGAAGGCAATATTTTACAGTTAGGGTGGCCAAAATCTGGAACCAACTTCCCAGGGAAGTGGTCCTCGCCCCTACCTTTGGCAAATTCAAAAGGAGGTTGGATGATCACCTGTCTCGGGTCTTGTGAACCCAGCATTCGTTCCTGCCTGTGGCAGGAGGTCAGGCTAGATGATCTGTTCGGGTCCCTCCTGACCCTAGTTACTATGAAACTATGAAACTGATGCAAGACTGATTTGCAGCTGAGAAGCCCTGCCCTACAATGCCCCTTTGTGTACAGGTGATTCGCTCATTCTTTGCTTTTAAGAGTGTTGATAGTGGTTAGCTTTGATACAACAGCATAATGGCAAGAGCATTCACAGTCTGAGGCACGTGTTCATTTAATTGTGCAACGGGATCTGACCCCTAATCCGAAGAATTGTGGCACCTGCTATGCCACGTGTGCACGGCAGGACACACTCCCAGGCTCCCCCTGAACCAGCAAGTTGAAAGCCAGGCACCTGCAGCCTGACTGAACCTGAGCAGTCTCAGGGCATGTTCTCCAGGGTCAAGAAATTAATAGCATCACAAAAACAGGATGCTACACTTTAAACTTAAAAGTGTAGCAGAGTAACCAGAGCCAGCTCAACAACTCCAGTGCAATCCTGTAACTAGGATTGACAATCAGAGCTAATTGTCAGTCCCAGCCCCAGGACTGCACTGGAGCTGGTTCCAGACTTGTGTGGTTACTGGGGCTGGGCCCAACAAATGTAGATCCCAGCCCCAGGAGTACACTGGAACTGGTTGAAGAGTCTGGTGTGACCCTGGGCTGAGAACCTGCTTACTGGCACCCCCAGCCCCAAACCAAGCCCCTTTGTAACCTCACATAAGGTCTATTCCAAAACTGAAAAGAATGCCCTAAACATCAATGGGCAGATCACTGCTGACCCCGATGAGTCAGGAAACCAGAAAGTAAGTTTAGAGACTGCCAAGTACTGTCCATAGACAAGTCTCTCTGCTGCCCCCTGCTGCCACCATCACACATCAAAAGAAACAGCGGAGAACAAGAGACAGAGACTGAACACCAGACAGGGCTTGGGGTGAAAAGAGAGTTCAGGCGGAGTAGTGAAAGACATGTACATAAAACCCTACATAACTCCCATTTCTCCCTCCACAGACTCATGGCCCCTTCCTTCCTTACACATCTTCTTCCACAAACAGCTGCTGGCAGAAGAATCTAAGCCATTCCCTGGTACTGCACACACATTAATACACTGCTGCATCACTGGCCTTACAGCTCAGCCTACATCAGGGCTGTCCAACTTCTGAGTGACCAGGCACTGCAGGCCCCCCAGCCACATGCTGTGCCAGCTGCACACACCACAGAGCAAACTCCTGTCCCCCTCTCCCCTCTGCTGCACTGCACGAGCCATCTTTGCTACAATGCAGGTGCCCCAACAGCATGCAACATGATTATGCAATGTAGGCATACCCTTAAATCCCCTGGTACCCACGAGCAAAGATTGATGTCACAGACTTAGTAACTAAAATGTAAAGAAGTTCAGTAATTCTCTGTAATATTTGCTACCTGTGTAGCGTCCTGGTTCTGTTTGTCCAGTTCTTCCAATTCTGCTGTTAGAGTTTCACGTTCAGAAATACTTTCATTGAATTCATGCTCCTTCCTCTCCAAGTCTTGCCTTAACTGATTTAATTCCAAAGTCTGATCTTCAGTTGATGCAGGTGTAACATCTGCATTTTTTTGCTGGAAGTCCAACAGTTCCTTCTGAAGTTCTTCCTTAAGTTGAACATAAAGATACATTCTGAATACTGGATTTTAGCTTGCTAAAGTACAGAAACCCTAAAAAAGGTTACTTGAATTCTAGCCCAATTAAGACAAGGTTCTTTGAGTGAATCTGATATCTTTTATTAGACCAGCTTAAATAGTTGGAAAAAATTTTAAGCAAGCTTTTGGGTTTAAAAACCCTTTGTCAGGCTGAAGAAGTTTCTGCAGTTGGTGTGCATTCTTCATTCATTCTAAAGAATATGTCTCATTAATATATGCTTATCTTTTCATCACAAAGATACCAAAACAACTTATACCTGTACACAAGAGTCACATTACCCATAAGTTAAATAGAAATATATCTACCTCTTCAGGACATATTCTCAGGGGAGTAAAATTTCATAGTTCCATAATAGATGTGCCCTAGGTGCGGAGCAAACTACATGACAGAGGAAGAAAGGAAGAAAAACGCCATGGGAGTTTTAAGTCAGGTCAGACTGCATATTCAGTATCTAGGAGTGACATCCAATGTGCTGCACAGCTCCACTTAAGTTACCTAACTGCATCAGCTGGAAGCTGTGCAACAGTATTGGTACTGGGGCTGTGCAAAGCTTTGGTCACTGGTTTGATTTGGCGGCCAAATCTCCGAATCCAAATCAAATCAGAAGACCCTTTAATCTCTCCGAATCGAATCGGAACCCTCCGAATCGATTCAGAGAGATTTGATGATTCAGACATAGACACAGCTTTAAATGTTTTTTCTACGTTCTCAAGGTACCAGGTGGCTCGTGAATGCTGAGATGGTGGGGCAGATGGAGCATCTCACAGGAGCACAGGGGGGTCCCTGGCGCAATCAGCGGCAGATCCGGAAGTGGACCAGAAGCACTTCCAGGTCCACCGCAGAGTGCACAGGGGACCTCCCCCCAGTGGACTGGTGCCTCCTGGGTCCCCCCACAGCCGATTGCCAAGCTGGGGGGATCGCAGGGGGTGGGGTCTGACACCCAGCACGCGGGCCCCCACCATGCTCCTGTGGGACGCTCCATCTGCCCCACCATCTTAGCATTCATGAACTGTGCCTGGTACCTCAAGGTATGTAGAAAAAACATTTGAAGCTGTCTATGACCGAATTGCTGATTCTCCGAACCAGCACTGAATCTTCAGATTCAGATTTGGCATAATCGAATTGGGACAGTGATCCGAATAAATTAATCAAATCACCGTCTCCCGAAGCGGGCCAAATCCGAATCCAAATCAAATACAGTATGCTTCACACACCCCTAATCGGTATGACACGGAAGTGCACTACTTCACACTGTTACACATCACTGCAAAAAGTGAACTCCCTGCACAGTACAGAGAGCTGCACTGCTTTCAGCTGAAGTTAGAATACACTCAGTGGCATAGCATTTCTGAGGGTACCACTGCCAATAACGATAAAATTGTTCTCTAGAATTAGTCTTTGTATTTACACAGGGCAAAGTGGATTCCAGGCCCACAGACCTACCAGGCACATAGTCCTCCCAGTAAACTAAATTGAACTCTAGGTATTTTGTAATGATCAAATATTGAGGAACTCCTGTCAAAAGTTAACCAGCATTTCCAGGAGAATCTTTGCTCCATCCTGGTACTTAGCAAGCTGTGACATGCTGTACCCTAATAACCTACTTGCAGAAAAATACTTTTTTGGACCTATGGTGCAATATTATAAACTGTCTCTGCTACAGCAGGTTGCCTGGATGGGGTGAAAATAAGGGAAAACAGGTTTGGAAAAATACAATGCAATGCCACATTGGAAGATAAACCATGTTTAAATAAACACTGGTAGAAAGCTACATCTATAGGGCCAGCAATACTGGTTTAAATGTCAACACCCAAAAGGAATATAATATTGAAGGAAATTCTAAAAAGTGGTCAACATTAAAATGCAATATACATCAGTTTCTGGCAGGTAGTATTTATAACATAAGCAAAATGTTCATGCCACATTAACTAATAGACTTTTTGCTGTTAGCAGGTTAGTGGAAGAGACAAATATAGTGACAAAACAACTCAGAATCACTTACGTTAATGCAAGTGTTTAACTGAAACAATTACATTTTAACATAAGAATTTATGATACTTCCATGTATATGTTTGAAAGATAAATATATTTTAGGTGATGTTATATTTGCACACACCTTTTTGTCCAAATGCAGGGATGACAGACATGGTTTTCTAAATAGAATTTTAAGGCAAATTTGAAAACTTTAAAACAGAATAACGAAAATATATGCATGCGAGTGTATGTACAATGTTTGATAGAGAAAAATGCTTTAGTTCCCATTTCCTCTGATGCAGAAAAGTGTACATAAAACTAAAAGCACAAAAGTTCCAACAAACATACCTTCTCTTTCCTTAGCTTATGATTTTCTTCTTTTAGGACTTGTATATCTGTTTTAACTTCTGGAAAATCTTCTGCACCTATGAAACTGTCAGCCTATAAAAAAAGGAATTCATAAAAATCAAAATTTTCAAATGAATTACGATCTTATGAGTATTCTGTATTACAAAAGAGCATACAAAAATGAAAAATGAAAACATCAGAGCTATCTGAAAATGGGTGATATTTTAGGTCCTAAAAACACTCTAGAAGTCTAAATGTGAGTTCTTGGTGGACTCAAATCCATAAATATATATGCTGTGTAAAACTGAACAGTAACCTGTTGCTTGAAGTTCCAGTACTTCCTTTTAACAAAGCAGGTTATGTAATCAGATTAAGTATGTCTTCCCTATCCATTCTATGTCCAGTCTCTAAACTATTAGTCTGACACTAGCCAGCTGCTCATCAAGAGTGATAGGTGGGGGGAGGGTGGGAAGGAGCACTGCCACCCACCGCCCGTGCTGCTGCCATTCCGCCTCTGGCCCCAGGCGCCCCCTCCTCACCCCTCCGCGGCACCACCACTTCCCAGGTCTGGGGGAAGCTTGCACGTGGCAGCCGCAGCCACCACCCAACAGCCCGCACTGCCACCGCTGCAAATCCAGTTATGCGCAACCCTCTCCCCAACTGCCCTCCCTCCGTCCCTCCTGGCTGTTCTTGGGGCCTGGCAGTGGCGGTGGGGCACCACCACTGTGCTCTCCCATCCACTTCCCACTTCCCTCCCCCCTTCTCCACCTCCCTGCCAGCTTTTGTTGGGGCCCGGCAGTGGCAGTGAAGTCAGAGTGGAGCAGCGAGGCCAGCACTGCACCGTCAGCCCCCCGTGCTGCTGCCCCCCAAAGAACAGGGCCAAGGCGGGTTGGGGGGGCAAGGCCAGCCCTGCCCCACCCCCCCCACTCTGTCCCCACTGTCCTGGCGACGCTCCACTGTCCCAGTCCGTCACTGCCATTGCCCTTCATGACTAACGGGGGGGAGGCATGTGGGGACAGAGCACCACCACCCAGTGCTGCCACTCTGCCTCTGGCCCCATGCACCAGAGTGGGGAGGCAAAGCCAGCACCACTGGCCTCACTCCCCGCTCTGTCCCCACCATCATGGCAATGCTCTGCCATCGTCCTCTGCCTCCAAGGAGCAGGGCAGGGGGTGGGAGGAGGGGGCGAGGCCAGCATTGCTGGCCCCTCAGTTACCAGTGTCATGGCAGCACTCTGCCGTATGTGCCTGTCTGTGAAGAGCACTCTGATTGGTTATTTCAGTCAGCATTGTGATTGGCTGCCGAGACAACCAATCAGAGTGCAAAAAAAGCATTACAGACAGACAGACAGACAGACTAAAGCTTTTATTATATTAGATTATTTCCTTGATTACCACAATAGAACATGCACTGAAATAAAAAAACGTTAAAAAAAATCTGTAGTAAAAAACAATTTCAAGAGATTGTGTTCTGCTTCATAGTTAGTTTTATTATTACAACTTTAGTGTTGGCATCATTCAGAGATCATTTACCTGCTTTAAGCTATTAAGTCTCAGTATTTCTTTTTCTGCATCTGTAAAAACACCAAGAAAATTTATTATTTTTTAATGAAAATTAGAAGATGAAGTAACAAAAACCAAATTAACATGCCCAGGCAATACTCCTAGCCTACACCATGAACATGTCATAACAGTGAGGAAACAAATTAGTAACAACAAAATAAGTTTTATTAGTCCTAAGTTAGAATCTAAGGTGACAGGGTACAATATATGTTCCTAACACTGCTTATCAGTGAGCTTGTCTGTAAAAAGTTAACTCTGAATGAACCTTTAAGACGCTTTTTTTCCTTATTAAATTCCAAAGATGATGTTGCTTAAAAGGAACAGACTAAATATTTGACCATTGTATAGCCCATACCATCTGGGCACAGACTGTTTGCATGTTGTGGGCATGATGCCAATGACTTCCCAGACTGAGTGCCTTGAAAGGCCCATAAATAATAGGCTCCATAATCCTCTCAATATTCACTTTTGAGAAGATTCAATATGGGGACCATCCATGGCTCTTTCC